GTGCCGTCCTTGTGTTGATGCCACAGATTCTAACACATCTGCCTGGTTGTTTGTGCCACTTTTGCTCTAAAGATGGTGTCTGCATCTCCTCCTGTGCTTGACCCATAGAACCACTCAGATACTCACAAAGCTCCCCCATGTTGACGCCAGGGTGAAGGTTTCTATGTGGTTTGGTCAGATGCTTTTAAGGTCATAAAAGGAAGAGCATTGATGAATTGCCTTCTGCCGCTCCTCTGCCACTGCAGAACCAAGCTTTAAGTGTGTACTTACATATTTTGCTGTATAAAGGCCAGCATATTTAGCAGCTTGCATGAACAAGCACTGAGATGTCCCACTGAAAAATGTGCAAGTGTAGGGCTTGCTAGAAAGGTCTCAGGGTCCTGATTCCAAAACTAACAAGGAGTCTCATCTGTTATGCTCCAAGTGACAAAATCCTGATGCAGGTGGGAGGCTAAATGACTACAAAACCTGTGCTTAGGGTCTCCAAATGAAAAGTGCTGGGTGTTGCACTGGGATTTATTCATATGACTGTTGCATTAGTGAAGATCTCTCTCCTCTCTCTTACACCCCAGCATTAAAGACTCAGTTTCTCACCGAGTCACCTCACCATAGGCACAACTGAGATGCTCAAGGTTGTGTGGAACATGCACACAGCTCCTGTGGCCTGCAGCTGTCTCCACCACAGTGTATTTCCTGTTAGCTGGTCTAACTAGAATCTCCTCCATTTTGTCATATTTTCCCATTCACTGCAAGGAGAAAGTAAACTCAGGGCTTTTAACAGGGTTTTAATTGTAGTTGGATTGCTGAACTCCTAGAAACTGAAATTTTTAAATTATGGAAATTAAGTTGTTTGAGGTGGGGGTCTGCCTGGGTGCTGTGTTCAAGCCTTAGTTCCTGCTGGAGACAACACACAAAGCTGCAGCTCTGTCAATACACAGTGCTGAGCTTACAGGATGCATAGAAGCCAAACTACTTGTATTATTTTCAGTGTAATAAGAATTGGAGGTCCATGACAGCAGATGGTAAAATTCCACTTAGGTTCCTGGATACAAAGTGAAGCTGAAAACATCTGACTCCTTGTATAAAGGGTATCAATTTTTAGATTGAGTTATAGCAAACACAGTAGTAGAGAGAAAGCATAACCTGCTTGCAGCCAGAAGACAGACAAGAGAATAAAGAATTCCCCTGAGTGGCTTGCTGGCTACCTGCCATTCCTCAACAGCAGAAGATAAAAGGGAGTACCAGGATAACTACTCTGACCCTATTTATTTCCAATAAAATACAGATATTTACATGAGATGAAACTGTTTGATATTCTGGGGCTGCCCAGCTCCTGTGACAGGAGACAAATGAAATGCTACCTTTTATTAGATCTGACCTACCAGAAGCCAATAACACATGCAATAGCTTAGCAAAGACAGAGTGGGACTGCCACATAAGGTCCAGGCTTTCTTCCAAGGTTGGTTTAACAAGGCTTCTCCCTTCCTGGAAAACCAAGTTTGCAGCCATGCTCCATACTACCAAAATTTGGTATGTGCTGATAATTAAGTGAGATAAAATAAGTACAGGCAAAGGAACAAAAAACCAAACCATTTACAAAAGCAGTGGGGTAAGACTGATAAAAATTTACACATGCTTTTTCTCTGTCTGTGATTCAATCCAACCCCCATTAAAGTCATACATTACATCTACTTCACACAAACCATGTATATTTACGCAATAAATGTATTCTTGCTGCAGACATAAAAATACATTATTGCTAGAACAAAGATTAAGAATGTTGGTAACTTCTCACAAAGCTAAAAAAACACCCAAAACCATTTGTATCGATTTTGGAACACCTGGTTGAGACAAACTTGAAGCATATAAATTCAACCAAAGCTTCTTTGGTATGCACTGTACTTTGTGAATTAAACTGAAAAATAAGGATATATGAAATTTTTTTCTTCCAAGTGTATAAACTCCAATGTATTCTCATGGGATGTTTCTTTCTCACCATTAGCACTTTTTAGTGGAAAATATTCTATAGCAAGCATGACTAAATGTAGCCTTCATACACAAAATAGGCCTTGAACAAAGGAAAGCATGGAAAATTGTTAACACTAGCACTTTTTCCGTGTCTTCAATGGAACCATGCCACCTTACCTATGCTGAAAGTATGGTCTTAGTACCTGAAGGAAAAAAGTCCTCCTGTCTTAAGAAAACAGACTCACTGATAAAAGTGAGGCATAGAAACTGTATCTCCTCACAGATTACAGAGCAAACAAATAAAATGTAATGATGTAATGAATTTGAAACTAATTTATCAGTAGATGGGTGATCAGTGGTTTATAACAGCTATATGTTTAAAAGGCAAAGGGCCTTTGGCAAAGAGAGCAAGCTGCTTGGGTTTTTTTAAATAAGTCAACAGTTTTTGCAGTTGTCAGCTATTCTTTGTTCAAGATCCATGCAAAGGCTGAACTTCAGCACAGTCATGACAGGACTTTGCCAGCAGCTCTGTCACCAGGAGGCTGTCAGGTGAGGTGGCATGTTTCCTCTCCGCTGTTCCAGGCAGAGAAGGTGGTTTTTCAAGCAACTCAATCACAAAATTGATTTTTTTTCCCCAATTTAATATTAATGGCTTTTGAATTATTCATGCCAGCATGGAGGGGAAACTTGAATGCAATAAAGAAAGAGTTTCTGTTTTTGTGTGAGTCTTGCCTCTGTTGTGGTTCTGTTCTGCTTACACAGGATGGCTGCCTCCCATTAAAAGATGTTTTCAACAGTGTTTTTTTCTCACTGTTGTGCAGTGACCACAAGGATCAAAACAGCTGCCTTCCCCTGCTCTGGAAACACAAATGTTGGTAAAGACTGTTCCCTTCCTATTATTTGTTTATGGAGCCTGAGGACAGTGCCAGTAGGTCCAATAGCTGGGCTATTGCAGAAAAAAAAGCAATAATAAAGCCTTAATTCCATGTGATGAATATTAGAAGTAGAGATCTCCAGAATCTTCTTTTGTTGCTTCAGGTGTACTGATAGACTCAGGAATTTGCCATATGGCATCAAATTTGACATAGGCTGTGCCATTTTACTAAAGCAGAGGTTAACAAGAACATGGACTAAGTCAAATAAATTATTTTCAATTTTCAATGTTTGTTTCCTCAACAAACACACAAGGCAACATTTGCCTTGCACAGGATTATCTGTGTTACAATTCTTGCTTCAGATGGCAATTTTAGATGTTACTATCTAAATGAAGATCTTGAAACGTAACGGAGATGCAAATCCGTATGATATATTACTGTGAACGCTGTCCTGTTTTCCTCAGGAACTAGACAGCATCCACTGTTGCTGCTTGGGCTACATCTGCCCTTTGAATGGAGACTTTTGCTCCTTAAGGCCAGATAAAAACAAACCAACCAAGCCTTTGGCCTCTGCCATTTGCACCCCAGATGAAAATTCATGATCAAGCACTAAAAGACCTGTATCACATTCTGTTGTTGCTATGCAACAGATACAATAAAAATTTAAAATAAGCTACCTGCTGGTGTCTGTGTTATGAATATCACCCAGATTGTAAACTAATGTTCTTCTGAATCGTTTCTGTTCCAGGCTTTGGGCACTTCTAATTGACCTGGATCTACACACCCCTGTAATATTTGAAAACCACTTGTAGTGCAGGTCTTTGGAGTAGGGGCTCTTCATTACTCTGTGTATGGCACAAAAAAGGCTACTGCCTTCAGTCCTAACTGGGCCTTTCAGGCATGATCATAACCAAACACCCAGAAAAATGAAGACATAGAAGTGGTGTTTGGCAAGGTCAGATCTAGCTGGACAATTGTTTCTGTGCTTGTAGTCCCTAGAGGCTTCATCAGGGATCATCCTGTCTCTGCCTCAGTGAAATAATCTAACCAGATGAGGCAAAGAGTAGGAGGAGAGGCAAAGACACTGAGAGCAGAGAAGAGTTGCCCAAGATGATGTAGTGTCAGAGCCAAAAAGAGGAGCCAGAATGCAACACCCTTCTCCACATGATTCTCCTGGAAATAGTTCTTTAGGCTTTGGACTCTAATTCATTTTTTTTCTTGGATCCTAAGCACTTGGCTCATAGATAGATTTCTGATCTCTTGAATATGGAGAGGGAAATAAAACATCGTATTTCTATGAAACACTTATGAAAGATGTACGCAGAAAGGTTGAATGCCTTTTTCTCGGAGGAGGATATTATTCCCTTCCCCCGAGATGCTTTGTCATCCCTCTTCAGCCTCTTTCTGCTAACAACGCTTTCTTAGAATACATTGTGTCATTCCAAGCGCTACAGGACTGCTATGCCTAGCCACTTCCCACAAAGATCCATTTCTCGTGAAGGGGGCCTAATGCTTGGTGGGATACCCTGGGAGCTGGAGTGAATCCCTCTTCCCAGCCTACGGCACGACACAGCCCTGTGACGGACCGTCCGTGCTGCAGGCTGAAATGCAGACCTCGTCCCTTTTCCCTTCTTTAGCCGTCCTTAATTACCGTTCACAGATCTAGAGCCTTTCCCCAGTTTTCCCCTTCTCTTCCACTTCCCCAGCCGCTCTTTCCGGCTTCTCCCTACGGCTCCCCTGCCCGGGCTCCTGCCACGAAGCCCTCGGCGCGCCCCGGCAGCACCGCTCCGTTGGAGCCGTTTTACCCACACCGGGAGCTTTCAGCGCGGCCGGGCCCCGCTTTCGGCTGCTTTGGGCCCCGTTTTCGGCTGCTTTGGGCCCCGTTTTCGGCTGCTTTCCGCCCCGCCAGCGTCCTCCTCTCCCGAGGCACATCCCTCCCCCCGCTGCCCAGCACGCCCGGCACGCAGCACCCGCCACTGCCCTTCACGACAGGTCATCTGGTGCGGGAGGGTGAGATCACTCCCCGGCTCCGAAGCGCCGCTGTCCCCGCTGGGGCGGTGCCGCGGCCCGGGCGGGAGGAGCGGGGCGGGCCGGGGGCGGGCCGGGAGCGGCCGCGGGGCTTTAGGGCCGGCGGGAGGCGGCGCCCCCTCCCCTCTCTCCGCGGTGGTGCCGGCGGGAGGCGGCGGCGGCGGCGTCGTGCGGGGCTGCCCCGCCATGGAGGACGTGTGGGCGGCGGCGGCGGCGCGGGTGGGCGCCGTGTGGCTGGCGCTGGTGCTCGGGCTCATCGTGCTGCCCTCGGCGCTGGGCGTCTCGCTGGGCATCTCCGAGGCCTACATGTGGGTGCTGGTGAAGACGCTGGAGGTAGGCGGCGGGAGGCGGGGGGGGCGGCTCCGGGAGGGTGTCCCCGGTGGGGTGTCCCCCGCGGGGGGCTGGCCTCGCTCCCTTCCCGGGGCCGGCGGTGTGGGCTGGCCGGGCACGGCTCCGTCCGGCCGGGTGTGCGGGTCCCCGGCAGCGCTGCGGGCATGGGGAGCCCCGGGCAGCGTCTGTGCCCTCGCCTCGGCTGTAGAGGAGAGGGGCTGGGCCGCGTCCTGCCTGGCGTCACCTGTGCCCGTTTGCATTTTTTTGGACTTAAAGCCCTCTGGCAAAACTCGAAATCTCTGTGGATTCATTCGGTGGCTGCGCAGGCTCCTCTGGCGTGTGCTCCTTGAACCCGCGGGAGGAGAGCGAAATAAAACCTCGTTACCTAAGGCTGTACCATGGCCTGGGCGCGGCTGTCAGTGCTCGGGGACAGCTCTTCCCCCACCTGAGATAAAGTGATGCCGGGTCACGCTCTGGGACGGGTGTAAATGTCTGGCAGCGTGCCCGGTGCCTGCGACGGCAGGTGCCAGGGAGTGCTGATGCTCACAGACACGGACTCCCGTCCAAGCTGAGCGTATCCAGCACCTCAGTTGCCATCTCTTTCCCTGAATTCTCGGGGGTAGCCAGTTTCTCGCAAAGGAACTGCTTTCTGCAGGGGGCATATTTCGTATGCGTGAGAAAATGCTTCCTCTGAAGCTCTTGGTGGTGGGGAGGAACAGTGTTTTAAAACTGCTGATGGAAATGATTGGGTTTAAATCTACATTACGCTTTTCCCAAGGAGGAGGGCACTCAAACCAACGAAGGAGCTGTAAGGAGGAAAAGTGAAATGATTCACAGCATACTTAGTGCTGTGTATACATCAGTATGTGACAGTAAAAAGTAGGTTTTATATAATTTCATCTTTGAGGTTTTCAGGCAAACTTTGTTCATGTACTTCAGTGCATTCAAGTTCCTTGGTGCTTGGCTGAAAAAAATCCACTTATTGAAATAGTATCTGTTAAATACCTCAAGTCAAAATATTTTAAGGCTTTTGGGTGAGAATGAATCTACTCCAAGTACTTTCTGGGGCTGTGAATGGTAGGATGATAACTGTTAAGGACAGAAGGATGCAGTTTTTACTGGAAAAAAGTTTTTGGATAGTAGGTAAGGGGGTGAAGGTCACATTTGCCTGAGGGAGCAATCCAGATATCCTAGTGAGATAGTATTATTTGGATGACTTGCCTTCACCTGTGATTAACCACAATTTGCATTCTTTCTTCTTAGATCACTAATCATTATTTTTTAGTGTCATTAAATGTTGTGACAAGGGGTGACTCAAAATGTTTTGGGAAGAAGTATGAAGAAGTATCTGACAGCATGGGCAAAATTATGGAGAAGTATCTGACGTCATATCGATGATGGTTAGTTGCAAGAGCTCTTCTGTTGCCTAAGGGAGGAAATAATGAGTTATCTTAAGAGTTGCCATTACTTTTGCGTGAAATACTTTTTGGAATTCCGTGCCAGTCAGTATATTAAAAATTATATTAATATGTATTTATGTTGAACATAAATACTACATAAAATACTATCTCTATAAAGGCCATTGAAAAACTGGGAAGCGTTCTGAGGAGAAGAGTCAGCTAAGGTGGACTTCCTGCAGGAGACTGAAGAAGCTCAATCCACCTAGGTAGTCCATTTACCTCAACTTGTCCTTGCTTTGCCTGTGAATTCTTTGTACTCAGAATACCTGCATGGAGAGAATCCCTGAAAGGAAGTGGTTTGTTGTGAATGACTCCTGTTCCTTGGCCCACAGGTCTGCCTTGGTTAGAAGCCTGACAGAGACAAGCTGATTGTCTGCCAGCCATTCCAAGCAGCACCTGTGAGAGCACCTGAAGATATGTGTTGTTGCCCCTGACTTTTCCTTGCCAAAATCTTGTTAACAGTGGAAGGTGTTAAATACACAGCTGCTGCCTGGGTGTTTGAAACTGCCTGTGGTTTTGAATCGAGCGCACAGGTTTTCTCCTGAGAGGAGTTTCCTGGCTCTGTGAAGTCAGAGGATGCTTCAGTCTCTGATGGGCTGAGGCCTTTTTCACAACAGTGGTTAACTTAATAGCTTCCTTAAGCTTCCTCTTCAGCTCCCAGCTCTGGATCTCCCAGGCAGCCTCCCTCGCCTCTTTTCCAGGAGGAGGGTGGGACCTTGGGCCTGCAGAGTGTTCAGTCAGGATGGTGGTGCTGCTGCTGTTGCTGCCTTCATTGTCTCTTTGATGGGCTGGACCACAGGAACTGCAGAAAGTGGTGGCTGTTTGTGCACCCCAGCTGAGTACCAAGTTGCTCTCTGGTTTTGCCTGCTTGTATCACTCATATTGGCATGTGGGAGGACACAGTGGGAGGACACATGTTGGCATGTAGCAGGCATAGTGGGAGGACAGTAACTGTGTTTTGTTTCTTACATGGCACCCTTTGCCAGGTAAAAAAATGCTTTTTTAAAGCTAATCTGCTCTGAGGGTCCAAGTTTGTCCATAGTCCAGGGACTAAATAGATGAAGAGTCTACAGTTCACTGTGGTGCATGTGCTGGTCCACTGTCAGGTCAGATGAAACAGAGCATCTAAGAATGAGCCTGTGGTGTTCTTCAGTTGTTCTGTAGGCTGTGGTAAGGAGCAAGTTGAGGTCAGCAGGAGACTTGTGCTTGGACTTTTTCCTGCCAATAAGAAAAAAAAAATCTGCTTGTTTTAGGAGGGCAGAAGCCTATTCCCAGTGCAGTAAGCATGGTCCAGGAAAAGGGTTGGGAGAGCTCCTTTTAGGAACAAAGTGTTTTTGTACTTTGACCATCTGACATCTCTGACAAGGGACATCAGTTGGTGCACAATAGCTTTTTCTCTATGCTGAGCTGCCTCTGCAAGGCACGTGCTTCTAAGCAAAGGGATTACCAGCTTTGTATGGAGAATATAAGAAGATTTCTTTTCCTATGTGATTATATTTTTTTCTATGTGATAAGGGGAAAAATAATAGAAAATTGTGACCAGTTGTGCTAATACCAGAGGAATGAAGTAGAGCAGGTGGACCACTTGCTATTAGAAAGCCTGCTTCCCCCAATCACGTGGTTATTCCTTAAAGTACATTAACTTGCTTCTGAATTGCCTTACCAAACTCGGCAGACTTTTAGCAAACTGCTCATTTCTGCCTGTGGATTCCCTTTCAGTGTTAATAGAAGTATGTTTTTAAAAAACATCTCCAGCAGCTGTTCACCCCTATGAGGAGATAGTCTGGGCTAGTCACTTGCTGCACTGATGCTTGTGAAATCACTTGCTGCAGCAATCTTTCCTACTGCTGGAACACTGGGGACTGCTTCTTGCAATCATCACAGCATACTGCATTTCTCCCTGTTTGGTTTTCAACATCATCAGATAGCTTCCACTTTTAAACTTAGTACATCTTCACCTCTCGGTCTCATTTTTCCTCTATCTCAGTCCATCGCCTCTCTTATGAGCTCTAATACGAGTTGGGGCTGGTGAGGCCCCTGCAAGCCATTCAAGCTGTCTTGCGAAGCAGTTGAGAAACCCAGCCTTTCACAAAGTCAGTTATCTTTCATTAAAGCCCATAGAGCAGCCATTGTGACAGAGCAACCTTTTCTCTATTTTTCAGTTTGTAGAAGATTTGGGGGACTTGTTTAGACTGTGTGTCCATATATTTGGCAGTAGCAATGAGCCTCCTGTCCCCCAGTGATGATCTTTGCTAGACAGATTGCAGTTCAATTTGTTAAAAACTAATTCCAGTACTTTGGTGTTTTTCAGTCTGCTGGGTTTTTTGTTTGTTTGTGGGGTTTTTGTGTGTGTGCCTAGCTACCTGACACAGTAGTGTTACTGTTAGCAACACTTTGTACAAATTGCCCTGCTTGATCCTTTTAATAGAAAAATGTTTCTTGTCTTTTTTAAATACAAGAAACCATGGTGCATGATACTTGTGAAATATTAAGAAATGAGAAAGCCCAAGGGAAGTGAAGTTATTGGGTCACATTTGTGTCAGGAAACAAACAACCTGGCTATTAACTAACATCACATTATTATCTATTTTTGGACTAATGGTTTGTTGATGACTGCAAGCACTTTGAAGGTACTACCCTGCTCCCCTGTCTCTTGAGGCTTCTTGTGGGGCTTGCAGTTAGCAGAGAAAGCACTTGTGTGGTTGGCCTTCTGTAATGCACAACAGATGCTTGCAGTCATAGGTGTTTTTCACATCCTGTAACTGATCCATTGGGGTTTAATAGCAGCCCCTTGTAGTAGAAGCAATTTTTGATAGCTTATTATGCTGCCCTACAGGGAATGTGCTTTTGCTGGACAAGGATGTAACTTTATTTGGTAGCTGGGAGGTTTAAGCCCAGGTTACTTGTGTTGCAGGTGACCTTGGCAATATGAATGGACCTAAACTTGAGAAAAATATACCTGTGGGGAAAAAAGGACTTTTCTGTGCCTGTGGTCAAACTGGAGATTGTGGCTGTGCAGGGTAGGTGGGATGGACTGTTATGTCCTGTCCCAGGTATGCCAGGCTGCAGCTTCCTAGGTTAGACATATGGAAGAAGTTCTTTACAGAGAGAGTGATTGGGCATTGGAATTGGCTGCCCAGGAACGTGGTGGAGTCAGTCCCTGGGGCTATTGAAGAGGAGACTGAATGTGGCACTTAATGGACAAGGTGGTGTTAGGTCAAAGGTGGGACTCCATGACCTCAGAGGTCTTTTCCAACCTAGTTGATTCTGCGATTCTTCCCATGAGTCACCATCAGGATTGCATATGGTGCTGGGTATAAGGGCGGGGAAAGGAAAAGGAGAAGATGTAAGCTGATAAATAGATGAATCATTGTGGGTTTTGACTGTTTCTTCTGTAACTCACTGGCCTCTGAAGCAAGCTTTGCTGACTAATGTCACTGCATGGTGTCAATGAAGGCCTCTGTCTGTGTAATTGCTATCCTTCAAGGACTGCTGGGCAGAGGAGAATCCGAGAGCTCTGAAGTGAGAGAGTGGCTCTGAATG